CTTTGCGTGGCAGGCGTGGCACTTGGTGACATCCACCTTGATATCACGTGGCAGGCGTGGCACAAACTCACAGCCACCGTCGTTTTGCGTGGCAGGTGTGGCACTTATGGTACTGGGTGGCGCGCTTGGTCCGGCTTTGTCGCCTGGGCGCCGCGCCACTTTGCGTGGCAGGCGTGGCACTTGGTGACATCCACCTTCGTTTCATGTGGCAGGCGTGGCACAAACTCACATCCACCGTCGTTTTGTGTGGCAAGCGTGGCACTCATGGTACTGTGTGGCGCGCTTGGTCCGGATTTGTCGCCCGGGGCGCCGCGTCACTTTGCGTGGCAGGCGTGGCACTTGGTGACATCCACCTTCGTTTCACGTGGCAGACGTGGCACAAACTCACATCCACCGTCGTTTTGCGTGGCAGGCGTGGCACTCATGGTACTGTGTGGCGCGCTTGGTCCGGATTTGTCGCCCGGGGCGCCGCGTCACTTTGCGTGGCAGGCGTGGCACTTGGTGACATCCACCTTCGTTTCACGTGGCAGACGTGGCACAAACTCACATCCACCTTCGTTTTGCGTGGCAGGCGTGACACTCATGGTACTGTGTGGCGCGCTTGGTCCGGATTTGTCGCCCGGGGCGCCGCGCCACTTTGCGTGGCAGGCGTGGCACAACCTGACATCCACCTTCGTTTCACGTGGCAGGCGTGGCACAAACTCACATCCACTGTCGTTTTGCGTGGCAGGCGTGGCACCAGCTTTGACACACCCTCTTTCACACACCACTTTGTCACACACCATCTTTCGCACACCATCTTTCACACCCAACTTTGTCACCCACCATCTTTCACGCCCCATCTTTCACACACCACATTGTCACCCACCATCTTTGACACACCCTCTTTTACACACCATCTTTGTAACACACCATCTTTCACACACCATCTTTTACACCCAACTTTGTCAAACAGCATCTTTGACACACCAAGTTTCACACACCGCTTTGTCACACACCACTTTGTCACACCATCTTTCACCACACCATCTTCCACACACCATCTTTCACCACCCCATTTTTCACACACAACTTTGTCACACACACCATCTTTGACACACCATCTTTCACACAGCACTTTGCCACACACCGTCTTTCACACACAACTTTGTCACATGCTCTCTTTCACACAGGACTTTCACCCACACCATCTTTCAGCACACCATCCTTCACACACCACTTTGTCACACACCATCTTTCACCACACCATCCTTCACACACAACTTTGTCACACACCGACCATCTTTCGCCACACCATCTTTCACACACCACTTTGTCACACACCATCTTTCACACACAACTTTGTCACACACTCTCTTTCACACACAACTTTCACACACGCCATCTTTCACACACTGCTGTGTCACACACACACACACCATCTTTCACATTCCACTTTGTCACTCACAACTTTTATCAATCATTACCCTGTTTGTCTGTTGCCATGTCCGTATGCAAAATGTGGAGCCCAGGGGGTAGCCCAGGGGGCAGCCCATGAGCAGCCCCAAATGGGGCCCAATGTATGTTAAAGACCCATGTTGGGTCTGAAAAAGGGTTCACCTCAGGCCTTGGCGTGCGCAATCAAACTTGGTATGAAACAAACCTCTTGAGTCAGGTGACCCAAGTCTGTTTGGACAACATGTTGGAGCGCCAGTGCCACACTTTGAGCATAGTCATCGAGGGCCATCCGCCCATAGGGTTTTGGCTTGAGCATGGTGATTTCAATGATTTCATGGAATAGGTGTTTTTTGCTTGAGACTTGGATTTTGTTACCGCATGGTGACATACTTTTTGAGTTCACGAAGCATTTTTGACGACCTGATTTTGATGTTTGACCGGGGGCTATTGCCATGAAGCGCTTGCACGGCAGTAGTGCTGATGAACCAGCCCCAGGTATCTAGTAGCAAGTCATTTTTTGCCACTTTGACACCAGGTGGCATTTTTTGAACTTCACTGCAATGGTCATACCATACATTGCAATTACGTTGGGCAGGGAGTCTGTGAGAGTGCTGTACAGTGGTTGGGGCACTCTTCCCACTTCCCGTCAGCTCCTTTGATGCGAGGAAGCTGCTGCTACATCAACGTTTGCACCATCTGAAGTTGCACGCGAAGACGCGTAGCAGTTTTCAGAGACTTGTCTAGTGTGGAAGATGGTGTCAAGGTAGTGTTGGATGGTTTGATGTCTAGACTGGCTGAATGAAGTTCCGACATGTTTCTTTAGGCAACTTGAACCTCTTTCCTTTTCATGGGCACAGCGCCCCCCCAATGCTTGGCACTTGGAATCTGCCATTGCTATATAGCTGGTGTGCAGCAGGAGATCTATGACAAGGACAACTTCGAATATGGTCCAATTCATCACGGTGCATTGCCGGGAATCTGGTCACCTTCCGGATTGATCCATAGCTGCAAAGAGCAGGCCAAGATTGAGCTAGGCGTAGCACGGCGGTAAAACATACTTCTGCGCATTGGCAAGAATATGTTCATTTTTCAGTGACTTTTCTTGGCTGGATACTGTGATGACAACTGACATTGATTACTTGCTAACGCCTGTTTGTGTGCTACAACGATTCTGATTTTGAGTCTATGATTATCTCAAAATTTGCTCTTTTCAATCATTCTCCAGCATTGGCAGGAAACTGCCTTTGCTTCGAGTGACCTCTTCCATTGGCTGGTCGTGCGGGGGATGTAGCTTAGGCTGGGGCTATTGCACTGATCGTTTGGATTTGTACGATTTGCAAGCGCCAACAGTGGCGGCCAAGACGCTTGGGCGCACCTTACATGTTGAGAACTTCTCAGAGCTGATATGGAAATTTGAACCAGTAAGGATAGTAAGGATTATCCTTTTTGATTCTGTGACATGGGGTTGGTTCCCACTTTGGGCTGCACTCTGGGCTGCACTTTGTTTCACTTTGCCACCAAAACTTCCCCCCAGGAACGGTTCAGAACGGTTCAGAACGGTTCTGAACTATTGTGGGGGTGTTTACGCATGGTGGTTGGGCACGTTTGGACCAGCTTTTGGGAGTTTTGTGTGTGTTTTATTGTTGTCTTAAATGATTTTCGCGGCTTCAATCCACCTGGGAAGGACCTGAAGAGGAAGGACTCTACAACACAAAAAAAAACGGCTGTGAAATCGGAGCTGGGGATTGAGCCTTTCCAAGGCTTTGTGCCTCCTAGCTTATTTCAATGCGAGGGAGTTGGACAAATTTGACATTGAAGCTGCCAAGCTCCTCGCACCTTGTCAAACGCCCCCCCCTTATTTACATTGCTGTAGATCGCATGATCAAACAGCCAAACCACATGTCTTTTAATTAGCCCTTGGCAGTTTTCGATGATTGTCGTGTATCATATCAATTGAACAATTTATTGCATAAATTAAATTGTGATTGTTATGTTTACTTGTATTAATATTCGACTTCTCTTTTACGACTTACACAGTGTGAGACGTTTTTCTTTGCTGCGACATTTTTTAATATAGAAACTGCCCTTCCCTTGTATTAATAACTTCAAACCTTTAAGACCATGTTCTCAACTTAAAATTGTGATATTCAAAAAACATGTGCCAAAACAGGCCCCAAGACATCTGCCAGGAAACCGTTCTGAACCGTTCTTTGTAGAAAGTACCAAAAAACGCAAATAGTTCAGAACCGTTCTGAACCGTTCCGGAAACGGAACCGTTCTGAACCGTTCTTTGAGGGGTGAAGTTTTCATCAGAAACCGTTCTGAACCGTTCTTTGTGCATCCCAAAGTAGTGTTTTTCGGTATTTATTTGAACAGTATTTTTCAACTTGTTTTCTTTTACGGATATCTGATATCTTAATCATTCATCATGTGATTTAAAAAAAACATCCTTGCATGTTGAATCACTTCGCTTCATTTTCAACGCATATCATTTTATACTACTTTAGTATCATTTCATCATACCACATCTTATCACCATGTATCGCATCAAATATTTTCATCATGACAACATCAAATCACGGAGCCCTTCCTTCCACGTTTCCACGCTATGGTAATTCCACGGTATATAGACATAGACACAGAGACACAAATCGTACCGAAATAACATACCATAACATTCCACATGGAGTCAAGCAATGTCAGTTTGCATCATGCCATCACATCATATGAATCATATCGCAACATATCATGTCCAAACTCAACAAGTGCCTAAACTTCAAACTTGTTTTAAAGCTTCCTATTGGACTAATCCTGCAGCGCTCTTAATTCCAACTGTGCGCAGCTGGCTTTGCAAAAGGGCATTGCTGCTCTTGGACATTTCCGCAGCTTGGGAAGTTTCCACGAAGGTAGGGTGAAATTTTTCTTGGGAAATTGAATATCAACAACAGTTTTGACATCAATCTGGGCTTGAATCCGGGCTATGTATGGTGCTATGTATGGGGCTGTGTTTTGGAGAAAGAGACTCTATACGTATAAATTGACAGAAACAGGCACTTAAACAGGCTAATGTTTGATAAAACTCACAACTGTTTTAACTTCTCGATCCTTCACCGCCTCCTTTCCCCTAACCTTCTTTCCCCGTCCCTGCTACAACCTTTCATGCTTATTATTGGAAGAAGTTGACTTGTGGGGTTATCCGGTCCTTTAATTTTGATCCGGATTTTTTTTTCTTGATCCGGATTTTTTTTTTAACCCCTCCCCCCCATCTGACACCCTCCCGGACCCTCCCGTCCTTGGCAGCTAGGATCTGTAAATTGTTGACAGGTGGCTCGTAGTCGATAGTCACTTGGTCGACCACCACAGAGCTTGGGACACTTGGCTGGGTGCTGAGCAACGAACTGGACGACTGGAGGTGGATCCCGGAGAGGCGTACCTTCTCCTTCGGGTCCTTTGGGCAGGCTGCAAGGGATAGAAGACCTGAGCTAAAACGACCACTGGCGTTGAGGACTGCATCTGCTGCGACATGGAAGGTGCTGTTTGAGCAACTTCTGGAGCATCCCCTGTTTTGGAGCTCCACCCCATGGCCGCTGATGACATCCTCAAAAAGAACGCGTGACCGATCTCTTAGGTGGAGGCAACTTGCTGCCAGCACGCTGGAATTCTCACGACCTTGCGCCTGTTTCACCACCAAGTTGGACTGAGACGAAAGGAGCACTTGGCCTTCTACGCGACCTCCCGACCCTGATCCCACCGCAGTGGAGTTGCCAATGGAGATCGAACTTCTGTGCAAAGTCAAACCAAGCACAGAAAAAGCACCACCATCTGACACTGTATGGGTGCTGAGCATGGCCACTGCAGATGCGTTGACATATGCTACTCCTTCTGCACAAAACCCTGCACCAAGCAGACGGGCCCTGGCATTTTGGATGCTGACTGTGGAATGACTGATAAGTATCCTGCCTATTGCAAAAAATCCGCCTCCAGACATTCCAGCCGTCGCATTCCGAAGGATGACTCTTGAGCCGCTGGACACGTTCAATCCGCTTCCTGTGTGAAAACCTCCCCCATCTCCTGTTCCAGCATGGCTGTTGGAAATGTTCACGGTTGAGTTCCCAGCAATCTCAACCCCATCAAAGGCCAGGAAACCTCCTGCATTCCTTCCAGTGGTCACATTCTGAAGGCTGACAAGTGAGCTGTCGGTCACCTGCAACCACTTGTCAGTTGCGAAACCTCCACCGTTTCCTTTAGATCTTGAATGGGAAATGCGGACACAGGACATTCTATCGATTACAACTTTGTCACCAGCATAAAACCCTCCACCATATTGCCGAGACGTGGCATGTTGAATGCTGACTGTGGACATGCTGATTATCAAAGTCCTGCCGTATGCAACGAATCCGCCCCCAGACTGTCCAGCTGTCGCATTCAAAAGGATGAGTCTTGAGCCAGAGGACACCTTCACATCCTGACCGACAAAACCTCCACCCTTTCCTGATTCAGCATGGCTGTTGGAAATGTTTACAGTTGAGTTCCCAGCTATCTCCACCTCTCTTTGGGCAACAAAACCTCCTCCACTCCCTCCAGTGGTCACATTCTGAAGGCTGAGAACTGAGCTGTTGGTCACCTGCAACCACTTGTCAGTTGCTAGACCACCACCATGTTCTGCTCTTGAATGGTAAATGCGGACACTTGACATCCCATCAATTACAACTTCGTGGTCAGCAAAAAAACCTCCACCATATTGCCGAGACGTGGCATGTTGAATGCTGACTGTGGACATGCTGATTATCAAAGTCCTGCCGTGTGCAACGAATCCGCCCCCAGACTGTCCAGCTGTCGCATTCCAAAGGATGAGTCTTGAGCCAGAGGACACCTTCACATCCTGACCGACAAAACCTCCACCCTTTCCTGATTCAGCATGGCCGTTGGAAATGTTTACAGTTGAGTTCCCAGCTATCTCCACCTCTCTTTGGGCAACAAAACCTCCTCCATTGCTTCCAGTGGTTACATTCTGAAGAATGAGAACTGCGTTGTTGCTCACCTGCAACCGTTTCGCTGTTGCGACGCCTCCACCGTTTCCTTCAGATCTTGCATCGGAAATGTGGACACTTGACATCCTATCGATTACAACATCGTCACCAGCATAAAACCCTCCACCAGCTCCACCATATTGCCGAGACCTGGCATGTTGAATGCTGACTGTGGACATGCTGATTATCAAAGTCCTGCCACCCGCACCGAATCCGCCCCCAGACAGTCCAGCTGTCGCATTCCAAAGGATGAGTCTTGAGCCAGAGGACACCTTCACATCCTGACCGACAAAACCTCCACCCTTTCCTGATTCAGCATGGCTGTTGGAAATGTTTACAGTTGAGTTCCCAGCTATCTCCACCTCTCTTTGGGCAACAAAACCTCCTCCACTCCCTCCAGTGGTCACATTCTGAAGGCTGAGAACTGAGCTGTTGGTCACCTGCAACCGTTTCCCCGTTCCGAAGCCTCCACCGTTTCCTTCAGATCTTGCATCGGAAATGCGAACACTTGACATCCCATCGATTACAACTTCGTCACCAGCCCGAAACCCTCCACCTATTTGCCGAGACGTGACATGTTGAATGCTGACTGTGGACCTGCTGATGATGAATGTCCTGCCACCCGCACCGAATCCTCCTGCAAACTCACCTGTCGCATTCCGAATGATGAGCTTTGAGCCAAAGGACACCTTCAAGTTTGTACCCACCATAAAGCCTCCACCCTCTCCTGTTTCAGCATGGCCGCTGGAAATGTTTACAGTCGAGTTCCTAGCGATCTCAACCTCTTCAAGAGCAACAAAACCTCCTCGACTCCACTCTCTCCAGTGGTCACATTCTGAAGGCTGACAAGTGAGCTGTCGGTCACCTGCAACCACTTGTCAGTTGCGAAACCTCCACCGTTTCCTTTAGATCTTGAATGGGAAATGCGGACACAGGACATTCTATCGATTACAACTTTGTCACCAGCATAAAACCCTCCACCATATTGCCGAGACGTGGCATGTTGAATGCTGACTGTGGACATGCTGATTATCAAAGTCCTGCCGTATGCAACGAATCCGCCCCCAGACTGTCCAGCTGTCGCATTCAAAAGGATGAGTCTTGAGCCAGAGGACACCTTCACATCCTGACCGACAAAACCTCCACCCTTTCCTGATTCAGCATGGCTGTTGGAAATGTTTACAGTTGAGTTCCCAGCTATCTCCACCTCTCTTTGGGCAACAAAACCTCCTCCACTCCCTCCAGTGGTCACATTCTGAAGGCTGAGAACTGAGCTGTTGGTCACCTGCAACCACTTGTCAGTTGCTAGACCACCACCATGTTCTGCTCTTGAATGGTAAATGCGGACACTTGACATCCCATCAATTACAACTTCGTGGTCAGCAAAAAAACCTCCACCATATTGCCGAGACGTGGCATGTTGAATGCTGACTGTGGACATGCTGATTATCAAAGTCCTGCCGTGTGCAACGAATCCGCCCCCAGACTGTCCAGCTGTCGCATTCCAAAGGATGAGTCTTGAGCCAGAGGACACCTTCACATCCTGACCGACAAAACCTCCACCCTTTCCTGATTCAGCATGGCCGTTGGAAATGTTTACAGTTGAGTTCCCAGCTATCTCCACCTCTCTTTGGGCAACAAAACCTCCTCCATTGCTTCCAGTGGTTACATTCTGAAGAATGAGAACTGCGTTGTTGCTCACCTGCAACCGTTTCGCTGTTGCGACGCCTCCACCGTTTCCTTCAGATCTTGCATCGGAAATGTGGACACTTGACATCCTATCGATTACAACTTCGTCACCAGCATAAAACCCTCCACCAGCTCCACCATATTGCCGAGACGTGGCATGTTGAATGCTGACTGTGGACATGCTGATTATCAAAGTCCTGCCGTATGCAACGAATCCGCCCCCAGACTGTCCAGCTGTCGCATTCAAAAGGATGAGTCTTGAGCCAGAGGACACCTTCACATCCTGACCGACAAAACCTCCACCCTTTCCTGTTCCAGCATGGCTGTTGGAAATGTTCACGGTTGAGTTCCCAGCAATCTCAACCCCATCAAAGGCCAGGAAACCTCCTGCATTCCTTCCAGTGGTCACATTCTGAAGGCTGAGAACTGAGCTGTTGGTCACCTGCAACCACTTGTCAGTTGCTAGACCACCACCATGTTCTGCTCTTGAATGGTAAATGCGGACACTTGACATCCCATCAATTACAACTTCGTGGTCAGCAAAAAAACCTCCACCATATTGCCGAGACGTGGCATGTTGAATGCTGACTGTGGACATGCTGATTATCCAAGTCCTGCCGTGTGCAACGAATCCGCCCCCAGACTGTCCAGCTGTCGCATTCCAAAGGATAAGTCTTGAGCCAGAGGACACCTTCACATCCTGACCGACAAAACCTCCACCCTTTCCTGATTCAGCATGGCCGTTGGAAATGTTTACAGTTGAGTTCCCAGCTATCTCCACCTCTCTTTGGGCAACAAAACCTCCTCCATTGCTTCCAGTGGTTACATTCTGAAGAATGAGAACTGCGTTGTTGCTCACCTGCAACCGTTTCGCTGTTGCGACGCCTCCACCGTTTCCTTCAGATCTTGCATCGGAAATGTGGACACTTGACATCCTATCGATTACAACATCGTCACCAGCATAAAACCCTCCACCAGCTCCACCATATTGCCGAGACCTGGCATGTTGAATGCTGACTGTGGACATGCTGATTATCAAAGTCCTGCCACCCGCACCGAATCCGCCCCCAGACAGTCCAGCTGTCGCATTCCAAAGGATGAGTCTTGAGCCAGAGGACACCTTCACATCCTGACCGACAAAACCTCCACCCTTTCCTGATTCAGCATGGCTGTTGGAAATGTTTACAGTTGAGTTCCCAGCTATCTCCACCTCTCTTTGGGCAACAAAACCTCCTCCACTCCCTCCAGTGGTCACATTCTGAAGGCTGAGAACTGAGCTGTTGGTCACCTGCAACCGTTTCCCCGTTCCGAAGCCTCCACCGTTTCCTTCAGATCTTGCATCGGAAATGCGAACACTTGACATCCCATCGATTACAACTTCGTCACCAGCCCGAAACCCTCCACCTATTTGCCGAGACGTGACATGTTGAATGCTGACTGTGGACCTGCTGATGATGAATGTCCTGCCACCCGCACCGAATCCTCCTGCAAACTCACCTGTCGCATTCCGAATGATGAGCTTTGAGCCAAAGGACACCTTCAAGTTTGTACCCACCATAAAGCCTCCACCCTCTCCTGTTTCAGCATGGCCGCTGGAAATGTTTACAGTCGAGTTCCTAGCGATCTCAACCTCTTCAAGAGCAACAAAACCTCCTCGACTCCACTCTCTCCAGTGGTCACATTCTGAAGGCTGAGAAGTGAGCTGTTGGTCACCCGCAACCAATTGTCAGTTACGAAACCTCCACCTCTTTTTTCAGATCTTGAATCGGAAATGCGGACAGTGGACATCTCATCAATGACCACTTCCTTTTGGGAATAGAATCCTGCACCATACAGCCAGGCCCTGGCATTTTGGATGCTGACTGTGGAATGACTGATAAATGTCCTACCTTTAGCAAAAAATCCTCCTCCAGACATTCCAGCCGTCGCATTCCGAAGGATGACTCTTGAGCCGCTGGACACGTTCAAATCCTGCTCTGCATAAAAACCACCCCCAATTCCTGTTTCAGCGTGGCTGTTGGAAATGTTCATGGTTGAGTTCCCAGCGATCTCAATCCCATCAACAGCAACAAAACCTCCTCCACTCTCTCCAGTGGTCACATTCTGAAGGCTGAGAAGTGAGCTGTTGGTCACCTGCAACCACTTGTCAGTTGCGAAACCTCCACCTTTAGATCTTGAATCGGAAATGCGGACACTGGACATCTCATCAATGACCACTTCCTTTTGGGAAAAGAATCCTGCACCATACCGCCAGGCCCTGGCATTTTGGATGCTGACTGTGGAATGACTGATAAATGTCCTACCTATTGCAAAAAATCCTCCTCCATCTGCAGCGGCCGTCGCATTCCGAAGGATGACTCTTGAGCCGCTGGACACGTTCAATCCGCTTCCCGTTTGAAAACCGCCCCCATCTCCTGATTCAGCATGGCTGTTGGAAATGTTGATGGTTGAGTTTCCAGCAATCTCAACCTCTTCAAGAGCAGTGAAACCTCCTCCATAGCTTCCAGCGGTCACGTTCTGAAGGCTGACAACTGAGCTGTGGGTCACCTGCAAACGTCCGACTGTTTGGAAGGCTCCACCGTTCTTGCTGCATCTGGTGTTCTGGATGAGGATCCTGGAATTGTCCTTACCCATTCAAGGGCACAAAGACCAGTTGAGGAACCAAATCTTCAAAACAAAACATGTGTTATGTGTCTTAATTAATTAACATAATACAGTAGCCCTGAGAGTCAGCAAACCACCCCTTAAATGAATATTAGGAAAGACTGACACTGCTGGCATCCGTTTAAGCACACCTCCCCAGTACAAGGAATGCACTGAGTGCCCCACAGAAATGTCGATATTTCCCGCAGAGAAACCAGCGCCGTACATCGCTGCAACGTTTTCGATCACAACTTCCGAGTGGCGGACGCTCCTTGGAGACTTGGTGAAAGATGGTGAAAAATGGTGAATACCAGAACGAAAAGCCATCATAATTGTCACAGAGAAGTCAACGGCACGGAGAATCGCAGTATGCCAAAAACGTCAATCATGGTCTTGGCGAAGTTACCAACAATCACTTACACCTTAATTTCTATGTTCTTGGCCTGCTCCTTGGCCAGCCACAAGCCTTAAGGGTCTCCCAGTTTTGCACCTTGGACCACTACTGGACGTTCCAACCCATATCTTACAAAATGTTTGCCTTTGGTTCTTCAAAAGAGATTGAAGCAAAGTATCATAAATGGGTAGATGCTGGAGACAAAAACAATTTTCCAGCCATTCATGCTTATATTTCATGTAAATATCCAAAACACTTGCTCAAAACCAGCTTCTCTGGCAGAATCAATGTTCCCATAACCGGAATATACTATATTAACTACACATGTGTTGATCAAAAAAAGGTATCTGGGGCAGCTTCAATCGACGATCAACCGCGATCAAAAACAGTGTCAATCCGGGGGAAGAATCTGTCGTATCTGACACTATTTTTTGTGCAAAGAATCGTCAAATCATGGCTTATATTATCACAGAATGATAAATTATTCACATATATTAACATATTGCAAAAGCCATAAATTTAACTCATTTTTTTGTCAAACGGCCTTGACCATTTTTTGGGGGTCATTACGGCTTTGATCGTCAGGAGCCACTTGCGTGAGAGTTGCTACTACGGCTTTTTGTGGCCTTTTTTTCAACAAAATGTCGAAAAAATACGGTTTTGCTACGGGGGGCTTGTGTGAGAGCTGTCACGTTAAAATACGCTTTTGCTACGGGTAGGACAGCAATGTTCTTTTGATTTGACAATTTTTTTGGTCATTACGGGTAAAAGCAATAGTTTACCCAAAAAAAATGATCATTGCGGCTTTTTCCCATAATGACCAGAAAAAATTGTGTTTTTGGCTTTCCAGGATATTACACGGTGTGAGCCAGGGCCTACTCGGGTGGGTTGAACAATCGCGGATCAACCGCGAACCAATCGCGGATTCTATCGACACATGTTTTGAAAACTGAATTGACCCGGTTGGGTAGGCTTTGAACTTTGTTGTTCTGATTCTTCTTTGCTATCGGCTATCACTATTAAGAACACAGTTTGCAAACAAACCGTCCGAGAACAACTATATCATGCCATATCATACTGATTTCTCCTCTCACAATCGTTGATTCTCATACAACAAATGGTTGCCTCAACCGCGAACCAATCGCCGATCAATGCCCTTTCGTAATTTTTAGACCTGCAAATACGATCGGCTCCCATACATACTGCATATATCATGGCAACCCATGGTAACCCCCAGTAAATGGGCCCAGTTGAGTTGGATTGTCTGGATCACAACGACATCCAACGACATCCAACGACATCCAACGACAAACGACCAAAAACTGCCACCTAGGGTCAGGTCTCCATCAGCTGCGAAGCCACCACCACTCATTGTAGTAGCTCCAGCATCTCTCACCTTCGATGTTGACATCCCAACTTTGTGCCCACTGGTGCAGTTTCAAGAATTCATTTCCGAGATGACACTTTTTCGCTCAGCAAAATCCTGAATATTCCTGAATTTGGAAACAATCCAAGTAGCTGTTAAGCGGGATCTGGTCAAAGTGAATGACCCCTTGCTGTAAAAGGCGCCACCAGGTGCGGTAGAGTTTGGCGATGGAGCTCCATGCCACGCTTCCACGTGAGCATCTGCAAGCAAAACACTCCTCGAATTCTGAAGGCCAGATTTCTGGTACAATGAATCCGAAGTCCTTTGCCATTCTAGGAGTGTCTTTATGGCAGTTTTCTATAAGAAAATCATAGTCAGTTTAAAAACACCACATAAGGTTTTGAATTTGCCGTGTAATGTCGGATAATGTTGGATCCTGATTAGTAGCTAGGTTCGCTATTAGTGGCTAAAAATCCCAAATTGTTCAGCACCGTCAGCACCGCTGATTTGATCTTCCTGTTCACCCCAAAAAAATCTTACACTAATTAGACTTCAATTGTCGCCAACTGAAATCCTTACTTACATATGTATACACATATGTAGGATTTTGTCCTATCTAAGAAACAGTGTCTTGAAACTCAACTTTTTGTTTGAGGGGGGTACACACGAATTAATCAGGACGGAACATTGCAGCCGATAGTGCAGGCAGGGTTCTTGGCTACCAGACGGAGCGAAGTCATCTGAAATTGCCTGCCAATTCTGCCAATATGGATGTTGACCCCCCTCCTGCGCAGAATCATCTTACTGGTGCTAAACGCAGGGAATTTTCGGGAATGATCCACAGTAATAACATACAATAACTATCAATAATCATCCCAGCAACCCCCAGCAACCCATCCATTCCCTACGTAAAACGCACCAGTCATCAAACGACTCCAACCCGATTCCAAGGCACCCGGTGATGCGCAGCTCCCCGGAGCTCAAGGTCAGAATCCCGGCGGCTCCAGCTGGGCGCAGCTGCACGGCCCCATGCGACTGCAGCTCGCAGAACGGCGCTTCCACGCTGGGCCTTGGTTTTGGATCCCATGACGGATCCGGCTGGTGCTGGTAGAAAAATGCGAACATAAAGGGGGTATATATTGATGGGATCCATGTTACCATATATATACCAGGGGGGCCTTACAGGTGCTTTGTGGTAACCCCCTTGCTGAAACCCCAACAGGCGCTTATTGGACATACCTTATGTTCTTGTGTGGGATTGATGTGGTTTGGGATACCCAATCTAAGGTCCAAACATATTTTTGGGGTTCACCATCCCAATCCCCACGCCCATCAGCAGCACTGTGCCACCGTGGCCTTTCATCACCGTGGCGGAGTTGGTGCTCAGAAGGTACGCTATGGGCAAGGGACAGCTGGGGTCACAACTTAAACTAGGACATCATTCGTATCTTTTAGTATGGCTCTATGCTTTAGCGTGCTATAGAATATGTAGAGTCACTTGTTCATTCCCCAGCTGTGAGTAGCCTCATCATTCTGCAACAAAAAAAGCTGCGTAGCGCTGTAAACATTGGTAACCCATTTTGTGCGGGTTTGCAGTACGAATTGCTAAGCGCTTAAGTTTTCCAACATAATCCTCATCACTGTACGTCGACAGTGATAAGGGATTCGCTCGCTCAGCATGCTGCATGCACAGGTGATCAAGCCTGGGCTCCAGCAAAATCCACGCGTAATCAAACAAATTTTGTTGAAATGAATGGTTGCTCTTTGCAATAGAACGTGGACAAGTCACTGATGCCATTTTGGCCGCGTCTTCCAGAGTAGGGTGTCATTATCTATGGCTTCCCGCGAAAAACCTAGGACAAACAGCATAAACCAACCTGTGGTGACAGGGATGGTCAACACAATTGTGTCCAATGATAATTTGAAGCTGGGAAACTGGAGTGGGCAGAATGTAGAAGAAAGTTGGCACGGCATAGAATCGATTTGTTTTCATCAGACATCACACAGGAAGAAGGGTTTCGATGTTTTGCCATGCACGATCTCATTGTAACCAAGTTTACAAAGACCGCTGCTCGAAACCTAGGATAGCACTCCGCTGGGCAAAGGTGTAAAATCTAAACAACACATTTCTGAAACCACATCAGCAATCCATAGTGATATTCTAGAGACGCACAATGCTCATCCTGTGGGTTTGCGTGCGCCACAGCCAGCGTCACACCTTTGAGCCATTTCGCAAGCACCGCTGATTCCTCACGCAGGCACGGCAGTAAGGAACTAGAGGTGAAACCAGGGCAACCCAACAAAGCAAACACATGAAGTCACACTATATCACTAGCAAGACACCGATCCATTGAAGTGCTTTTGCACCAGCGTCGGAAAGTTTTTTCTTCCAAGCGGGTAAAGTTGGGACCTTACACCACATTCTGCCAACAGTGGTGACCCCCACAATCCCTCACATGTGCAGCGCCCTACCCGTTCACGAATGCAAAAAAGTGACATTGTTCCCATTTGCCCCCGATTTCCTTGCAGGAGTTGAATGCGAATTGGTAACACAGGGTGATATGAACATGCTGTAACATGTTTCCACTTAGCAAACAAGTCTCGAATCCCATGTCGCCGGCACTCTTGTTGAAACTGCACATTAGCAACCCGAAGCCTTTCCTCTTGGTTTTCTCCTTGCCACACGCTGTCATCACTGGTAAGCTCCACCAAAGCCTTTCAGTTCCGGACAGGCCAAGCCCAAGCAAAGCACCCATGGGTTCCCCCTTTAGAACATGACTATATGACTTCAACAACTATTAAAAGAAACAAAACATCACCAACTTGTGATGGAGTATCAGAAGCTGCCAACTCTGGTGTGATCGCTAGGTCTACAATGTGAAGCCAATCTGCCAGAACCAGTTGCAGATGAAACCCGGGTAATCTTATCCAGCTGTTGGGTTTGCAACCAGTTTGCAAGAATTCATCATTTGTAATCATCGTGTTGCAGTGAGGGGCGTGCGGCCCAAACGCACAGTAAAGCATGGGGCCAAATGTAGTGGCTCTACAATACATACAGCACCTCTCTGAATTCCAGGCCGTTGTAAGCTTTAAAGCACGCTGTAGAAATTTCTGGTCACCTTTCATAGCTACCAGGACACCACGGTACTTCCCACAGATAGCACCCTTGTGACCTCTATCGAACGTGTTGTCATACACATCCACATCAAAAAAACGTCCTTCCTGCAGTTCACACAGGCCATAGACCATCCAACTGTCCAAAGTGTCATAGGTCTCGGTCACTGCCCTCGAAGTATCGATGATGTAGGAAAGGAACTTGCAATCCCACGAGCTCTGTCCTGCAAGCAGGGGGCTTCCGATGGTTACAGCACAGTAGGAACGCCTCCTGTGCACATCAGCGTCATCCCCATGAACCAAGATGGGGAAGACATTCTGCAAGTCAATTTCCTAAGCCAAGCACACGTTCAACTATCACCAATGTAATATCAAACAGGTAAGAATGTGGAAAGCGTGTCTGTCCCCAGGGCTATGTGGCAAAACCTGCCAGAGTTTGAAAAAAGCAAGGTTCAGGGTTTGAAAGGATTGGGTGGTTCTGGAACCAAGTTGTGTGCCTCTGCGCGTCCCAGAACATCTTCAATGCCTAGGCGGTGAAGGATTGCACACACCCACCACACAGGTACTTATTGAACACAGTTAGCAATGCTGCCATAAGTACTCCAGGAGGCCCCAGCCATTTGTCTTTGAACAACTGCTCATCATACTGATACATAGCATGGATCCTTGGAGGAAGAAGCATGCAACCTAACATGTTGGGAAGGGGACCCACAAAAGACCACGCACAGAATACGCTTCAATGGCGAGTGGCAGGTCAGAGGGCAAGAACATGTGCCATGTGCCCAAATAATTTGGGCTTTCTCGGGAACGGTCATGTAGCACAAGCGATACCCTCAGATGGTTCAGCCATAAACATCGGAGCCCCACCACTTGCTGCTACTACTTGCGATGTGTTACGATGGAATGTTTGAAAGCGAGAAGCCAAGCAGCTCTTTAGGTTTTGGAAGCATTCTCCTCCAGGGTTGTTTCTCCAGCCATGCCCAAAATTTTCGGCCATAGTGTTCCGTGGAAGAACCACAACTCCCACATAAGTCACGCAGGTTCTTCCTCAGAAAACACACTGCCCATTTGGAAACCTTATCTGTTGTGGAAACAATACCTCTACCGATGAAAGGGGTCCAAGTTTCGGTAAGTGTTTGGCTGGGATTCTTCGGTTCAGGACCTTGAACATCTCAATTAATGTGGTGACACTGACCTTGGCTGGGAAGAAAAGAATGCTGAATGGCTAAAGTGACATCTCATTGGTCGTTGTTGTGGCTCAAGAGAAAAAGATATTGGCTCAAGAGAAACAGATACTGGCTCAAGAGAAAAACACATATCATAGATCAAAGTGTTCCATGCTAAACAAGTAACATCTTTCCCCAGTTCTAAGAACTCCTCAACGATGTCCATGTAGGCTTGGAAGTCATCACATCCAATGGCCCATTGCGCCCGGCTAATGTATGGAATATGTATGGAAGAGTCACCCCGCAGCAAAAGAGTCATAGTCATAGCATAAAACGTTTATCTATATTTCCATTGGGTACTGTAGGAAACCACCGAGTTCATACTCTTACCCCTTAAGGATTTACCCTCATTTTTTTCAATATATATTTTTTTTAATATATATATATATATAAGTTGCAAACATTTCACTGGTGGATGTCAGGGTGGTGGACTAACGTTTGGAACTTCACTATCAAAGAAAACAAAACCTGCAGAAGACAGGCTGAGGCATTCGGAAGTCAGTGGAACAAACCATACATTCACAGAGATAAAAGAAGTCTCTCTCAAAACTAGGGACCCCAAGTTCAAATCATACTACTTAAATAGATCATATTATAATTATATTAATGAACCCCTTCATGTTTGTGGTCCCCAATCTTCAGGTATACACACCGGTATGTATTCGATTTAGATGCACCAAGTTTTTTTTGAAATCCTTCCCGGTCACCCTCGGAGTTCCCACGCTCTCCAGCGTGCCCCCCTGCTGCCATTGCAACTGCGGTCGCTTCGCAGGCAAAAGGGAGGATAGAAACGTCAAGTGGTTTGGAGTCTGGAGGCCCAACATGTCATCCAGTGGCCAGCTACGTAATTGTCATCCGTTTGGATGAACCGTAAATTAGAGCACCAACCTCTACCACACTTGGTTTACTGAGGTGACTAAGAACCCCCGAATAAAACACCAAGGCACTGGGGAATAATTTGCACACATATGGAAGTATGAACAGTTGTTGGATCCGTGTGGTGAGAGTTAAGAGGCATGGCACTCTAATAAACCGCGCTTGAACCCGAAATCTAATTGTGGGTGTTCAACCAGTACGAGATTATATACACCCATTGACTAGCCCATCGAAAAGTCCACAGCGAAACACACATGAGAATCAACAAATCGTGGATAATTACCAAACAGATATGCCTATAGTACACTGGTGTTTTGTTTGTACTCCTGCGTATTAACATGGAACACTTGGAAACCAATGGGCTCGTCATCCCCTGTTCCAAGCACACCCCAAGATGGGACCAAGCAGCTGGAGTCCCTGCACAGGTGCGATAGAATCCAATAGAATAGACACAGTGTGTTGTTGAATGTTATCACAATATTTTGAAACTAATTTAATCATGCTAAAGAAAGGATGGCCATAGTTCATTGTTTGGGGCCCAAGTAAATCAGTCGGATTCCTCGTCACTGGACTTTTCAGCTGGTTTGGCTTTCTTCTTGGGTCCCTTAGTGGCATTTATGCGCCTCTTAGCATCCCTAATATCAGCTTGAATCGTGGCTGCCTCACCCTTCTCACTTTCAATGAATTGGTGGATATCCATCACATCAATGTCAGAGACAGCAATCTTCAATTTCTCCTGAACGTTGCCAAAGCCGGAGGCTGCCTTGGGCCCGTGGGACTCCAAAGCTGTCACCTCAGATACGATGATGCTGCTGCTGGATGGAAATTCACATATACATGGGATGGATGCAAC